AGGGGGTATCACTGATGTTAATTTTCATTTGAGTCAGTGTTTTCGCTTTCATTAACCTGTAAGACAAGTCACTATATAACTGGCATGTTGTCCAAGATAGAGTAGGAGTAAATTGTTTCTGCTTCCAGTAGAGTATTCAATTTCAGTTAAATCTTTCAATAATTCAAATACATTGTGTTTGTTTAGTTATTTTTTTTTTCTGGGATACTTTCCAGCTTACCTATGTATGTAACAGTAACATCACTGCAGATCTGTCTGAGTCGACACACTGCATATCCTACTAGAGAATTGACCTCGGACATAACTTTAATGTGTAACTGGAAACTGCACTGTAAGGCTATGCTATTTTTTCCCTGAAACTCAGGTGGTACCCTTGAAAAACAAGTTCAGAGTCCTCAATTTGCAACATAATGAAAATGGATTTAGTGTGCACATGAAACAGTTAATTTATTTTCATTATAAGTGACAGTTCTGAGTCACCAACCTGCACAGGTGATGAATAAGAAGTACTTAAGGAATACAAACCTACACTTTACCAAGGATACCAGCCTCTAAGCAGTGACCCTGGAAGTGGCTGTCTGGTTTAGATAACTACACAGTGGTTTCAATATAAACCCAGAGTCACAAAAAACGTGCATGGCCATAGCGCTGTCTGAATAAATAAACCAACTCTGCTGGAACATTCTAAAAGGAGCAAAGCCAGAAGTGATATTTATAAGCTAAAGAAACAAAGCATCAGTAATGAAAGGAGTGATAATGAGCCATAATAAAAATCACTGAAAAAAAGAACTCAAGGTATATTTCCCCTGAACACATATGCACAGTCATATGCATACAAGCTCAAACAAAATCGATGCACTGGTGGAAGAACTGGGTTTTGATTCGTTCCTGAGCTTCTGTTGTCTGTCAAGGGGACATTTTTTGTCTGTCTCTGCAGGTTCTACAAGCATACTGCTGACACTGGTCTTCATGAAAACTTAGCTTAGAAAGAACCACAGTCAACGAAGCTGCTTCCTCCTCCACATTTTGAAGATTACAGATAATAGAAGTAATATACAAGAAAATGATTCATGGCTCAGAAATCAAAGTCTTACTGGGAGGATAAAAACTGTACAGCAGAGGAGATGGAAAAAACATAAATCTGAGCTGTGTAAAAAACATCTCCCCTTTAAATTCTGTCTTTGCTATAGAGGAAATGGGACAAAAGGAAAATAGACTCAAGGAGAAAAGCAAATCTAGAGCAGAATAGTCAGCCTATTCCCCTCTGGGCTTATAAAGAGCAACCTCGAATCAAAATCCTTGGAAGTCCTTGGGACAAGGATACTCTTAGCAGGTGGCAAATATAGAAGCTTTGTGAAAACTGATATTTTCCTAAGGGGAATGAAAAAAATTCTTCAGAAGGTGCCAGAAACCACAAAAGTAATTTTGAGTCAATATGATTATCAATGAAATCTCTGTAGCAATAGCCCCATCATAGCAAGCTAAGTTCTTCAGTTTGGTTTCAAAAGAAATTACCAGGTCTGCTTTTGAAGACTTGATCTACCACCTCAGGCTGAGCTTAGACACAAAAAGCCCCTCAGTATACTTGTGCTCTTCTCTAAAGGGAAAAGTCTCAAGGTGCCCCTTTGCATTACAGTGAAATAGCATAAAGAGATGGACAAGGTATTTCTATTACTGGTTGGCCAAGGTTAAATGCAGGGCTGCTGAGGAATCCAGATCCTATTGCATAAGTATGAGAAAAACTGTAATAGGTCTGTAAATGGATGTTAATCAGTGTCTCAAAGTTAACTGAAGAATAAAAATTATTAATTTGTCATTCTATGGTTCCCTTTTCCTAGATCCTGCACAGAATAACTTGTCTTCAGGAAAAACAAGAGTAGTTCCCTTATCCAGTATTACTATGGAGACTAAGGACTGGTTTTCTTTGTTTCTACTTAAAATTCCAGTTCTGCTAAGAGGATATTGAGAATGTGCTGATAAACTGCCACTGTCATTCTGTAAGTACAACACCCACAGAGCTGTGGTCAGGAAGGACTGCTTTGCTTTAAGCCTGTGTAGAGTGGACATTTGCTGAAAACCTTGCTTGATCTTTGAATCATTGCAATACACCCCGCCCCAAATTAATTTCCTCTTTACGCACCTGCTCTCCACGAAATTGGATAAGTTTGCTTCCCTGGTAGATCACCACTTAGAAAAAATCATTGTATATTAAGAAAGCGTTCCTCAACACTAAAATGGCAAATAGAAAACAGACATCCTGCATATTTATTCCAAGGTGCAAAGCAGGACCCAGACCAGATTTATGGGATTTTTGCCACAGTGACTAGATGAGTCTTCATCATTCTGATAGAATTCAGCTGCTTAAGCAGATCTTTAGAGGGGTAATAAAGGTCCTTTTTGCTGACTACTTTTCAGAATGCAAGTAGTGTTTTGTGAGGTGCAGTTAAATATGAAAAATACTTCTGGAACACAGAGGTGTGTAATCATGCATAAACCAGTTTTCTGATCCTTATCTCCAACAACAGACACTATTCAAGAACAGCCTTAATCAGGTAATAAATCAAGAAAAATAAAAATGCAATCGTCATTTATGGTACCAAAATAAAACCTATATTTCTGAAAGAAGAATATAGTTATTTTTGCAACAGGAAAACAGTTATGATTCTGCAATCTTCCTTGGTTTGTGTCAAAACAAATTGCACTGAGATGAATGATTTTCAGATTTACTTTAGTCAGTCAATATTGTAGGAACAGTTAATGGTTGTGGCTTCTGCTGATTGATGGATTTTTGAGAATTTGATGAGCATGGGAAGAAGTGAATTGTATGAAATGACAAATATCCTTGCTTTCTTTAATCCTCTTTGCCCTCAGATATTGAGCTTTCAGCTGTCTCTTCTTAAGGACTGCAAAGGCCATCACCTCTGTGGTACTGTTACTGCTGTACTCAGGTACATCTGTGAGTTGGCCCAGGTGACGTGTCACTGTCCCTAGATGTTACACGGTGTTAGCTTTGAGGTTTGTGGCAAATTATTCTGCAATTCTGGTGGGAAAATATCACTTCATGTGCTGCAAAATATCACTGGACTATGGACTAATACAACACATGGTATGGACAACCCTCAGGGCAAGACAAGTTCTCATGACATTGGCTGCAACCACTATGAGAAATTTTTCTAAATAGGTAATTTTTTATTTGGCTGGTCCTTGCTTGCAAAACAAAAATCTGTATTTCTTAGATAGTCTTCATAACTACAACTGAATTTCATTTAAATATGCAGCAACTCAATTTAACTGGACACATGAACTGTGCTGTGATGACATTTAACATCTTCAGTACTAATAATGTTGGTTTTGATGCATGTAACACACAAAAAAAAAAATCAGTTGGTTTGTGGTTTGCTGTTATTGTTTTTAATCCTTTCCCAGAAATTTGGTACTCTGGATCTTTCTTCAAGATTGGAATAAAAGCACAGTTTAAAATTTTTGGATTTTCCCTGGAACAGAAACGTTGTTTTCCACAAGGTGAAACAGCAGCTGTTGTATACATTCAAGAAAGAATACAAGGGGGAATGCTTAGTAAATGCACTGGGAATATAAAACAGAAGTTTGCAAAGGACTGGGATGTATATTATCTCCTGTGAGAAAAATTGTACTAGATTTTTGACAGTAATATATGGTCATGGAAGGAAATTCAAATTTATTCATAGGCAAAGTTTTTCAAAAACTATGAATCATATCTGTAAAGTTCATGGAGAAAATTAAATTAATCAGGATGGTAGGAATACACTCGTTCAGTTTCCCAAAAGGCTGTGTCACTCAGTCACACTCTAATAAAGGCTATTGCCTGCTCAGATGAGGTTTCATTTATACTAATATTTAGAAATGGCTCACACTTTAGAGACTGACATTTCTAGAAACAGTCAAATTCAGGATATGAGGAATATGGATGCAAGAAAAATAATATTTGTTATTTTTTGTCATCAGTTGTAAGAGCCTATTAAAAAAAAAGTTTATCAAACATAGATGAGACACAAATAAACACAGACTGACCTGTGATTGGTCAAACACCATAAATAACAATAAACAAATATATGATGTGAATATTTCTGCATCATCTCTGTCTTACAGGCTGAGTTGTAGTACTCTTTACTGTGAATGGGTTTTATATTATTTATAGATAACACAAATATTAGTTGTTTTAAATTAAATCAGACAAACTTTGCTTGCTGCACCTATAAGAGAACTGCCTTAAAACACAGTGGACAAATGAAACGTGTGCCAATTGCACGGAGTCTGAATTTTTGAAGTGTGATTTAGAAGGGCCTTAAACAGTTGCTCTGCCTTTGGTAGTGAATTTCACCTCCTGAAATATAAAACAGACTGAAGCAAGACTACAATTTTCCTCAGTGCATTCCAGTCTTGAGTGTGCGTGTAGTGGAAATTTATGCATGACACTGATTTACTCTATCAGTAGATGGTCAAACTGGAAGATGTACACCTCCTATCATCACTCAGCCTGGAAACCAGAGACTACAACAAAAAACTCCCAATGCTTTACATGGAAACATCTAGTCCTGATACAGTTAGAATCTGGTAACAGTCTTGTCAAACTTTGTACACCTACATCCAGAGATTACAGTGATGAGTTTTGCCATCATTTATGGAAGCATAGTAATGATTATGATGCTGACAAGAGTGCCCAAGAGAAGCACAGATGCTGAGAGATATTATTATGCAATCTGTATTACTGCTCATCTACATAAACTTAGTTGAATAACCCAAGTTGCCACATTTACCATAAAATAAAGAAGAATACTGATATTTCAAATGAAAAGATAAGTCATCATATGTGTATTTTCATAGATAAAATTTCTCAAATCACATCATGCTTTCATAGCAAAAGGTCTTTTGAGCAGACAGCCATGGTAATGTCTCCAAAGTTACCCCTTTCCAACTGAATTTCTACCCAGGAGTAAGCAGAAGAAAACCAGAGAACTTACGATCTCCTTGGCAGCGCACAGGACCCACGGACACCTTGGCTTCAGACCCAGGCCGGTCTAGATCTCCAACCACCACCTGGCTGACTGGTAGGTGCTCTTTGTATGACAACATCCCACTGTCTTTCCTCCTGAATTACAGAGACACAAAAATAAAGCAATTGTGAAGCATATGAAATTATTTTCCTTGATCTAAGCACCAAATGAATAGGCATGCAACTCAAACCTCATTTTAGTTTTAGCAAGACCACAAAAATTCAATTTATAGTCATGTCTTTGAGCTCCTCATTTCAACTGCAGCAAGTAACCCAGTGCTTTTTTCATGCTTAGACCAAATCACCGTGCACAGCTACAATATTTTTCCTTTATTATTTCAAGAGATGAACCCAACTGGCATCGAGTGTTCTTTCTTCCAAACAGAAAATGAAATAAGCAATATTTAATGGGGAACTTTATCTTTCAGCTGGTTTGCCTCTGTGGATTTTTTTGGTTGCAACATTTTTTTTTTTTGTTGGCTTGTATTTTCGGTTTTATTTTGTTTGTGTTTTTATTAGCTTTTTTATATAAACACACACATAAAAGGCTAAATTATTCACATGGGAAAAATGCCCTATATATAGTGTTAAGATTATAATTTTTGACAGAAAAGAAAGAGGAAACAAAATAAATCCATCTATTTCTCTCTCTTTTTTCCCCCCTCTTTCTTTTAAGCTCTATCCTGCCATGTAATTGGGTATCTAAAGTAAGGATTTTTTTGATCTAAAAGAATCAGTTCCTTTGTTCAAAAATATCACAGGATGAAAGACGAATTCAGTATCTAGAAAATATGACTATACTGGAGAACTTGTAATGATTTCAGGAAAATGAAAGTCCTTTTCATCTCTAACTTGGATGACTCCAAGATTGTACTCATTATATTGCTAATAACTGGGCAGCGCAGCAGGGATCTGCACAATCTCTGGTAATCTTCAGAGTCTTCCAGTAGGACAGTACTGTTTTCCTGTAGCATCTCCAGTCATCATCCTTATTTGGTCCATCTGAAGAGATGGAAAGCAAAACGTTCTTTCAAAAAGAAGCACAACTGAATTAATTAAGAAAATAGCCATCACATTTTCGAACAACAGTTCACTGGAACTAACGTCTGTTCTCTGTGATGAAGAGAGTAATTAGAGATTTAATTAGTAGATTTTTCTAAGTAGCAGGCGACTGTTTTACTTAATCTGTGTGTTCTTCCCCTTAAGAAAACTTGCTCCTTTGTGTTATGTGACTCTTTAAGCTCTGAGATCATTAGGCCTCTTTGACTGGACACAGCTACACCAGGGGTGAGGTTGCTACAGGAATTGATAGAAAGGGAGTAAAATGGAGAGCAGGAACTCTGGCAGGTTGCTCCTGCACATTGTGATCATCCCCAGATCGCCATGCCCTCTACAAAGGCATCCTTTTCATCAATTTGGAGACAAGCAGTATAAGAAGAGAAAGATTAAAGGACTTTCCATTTAAGAAAGAAAAAAGTGAATAACAAAGGCAGGTATGTAGACCTAATCTTTGTCACTGCTAAAGACTGCATCCTTGGGACCCTCTCCTTTCTAATAGAGGATAAATGTAGGTCATCACTTTACTTTTTCTGAGGTTTTCCTCTGAGACTGGATTTCTCTCCTGATTTTTATTCTTTCAAAGAACATTTTAAAGTTGGACATATCTATTTAAAATAAGGAATTCTTCGAAGAGTGATAAAAAGAAACCTATTGGCATTTCTCTTTTTTTCTTTCTTTCCTCTTTCACAAAACCAGCTAATATTTCAGCTCCAAATAAGGACAGGGTGGCAGATTTCCTGTCACCAATAGCTTTCACTTTCTTTAAAGGAAATAAAAAGGAGCAGTACAATTTTCTCCCTCTTTACTGATAATTTTTTACCCATTTTAATATTTTATTTATGCACTTAGTGATATGGTCACTTTAAAGCCATTGCCATGACAATAAATGTTAGAGTTCTTTTCAGAAATAGCCTTATTTTCTGGTCATCACTTACTTGTGTCATCATTGTAGCATTTTCCCCTGCCCTGAATCTATTGAGGACTGGGAGTGTTGAGCTAAGAGTTGAGAGAGGTGAATTGCCTTTTCACCAGAAAAACCTGGCATAACCTGAGTAGTTCTTTCCCTCTTAACAAATATGGGATAATGATGATTTTTGGGCCACACATGTGCAAATAAGACAAATACACTCAAAGACTGAATGGCTCTGTTAAGCTTTTCTAACATGTAGTTCCTCTGGACATACTAATCAGTGCTGACAAAATCAAAAAAGTTTTAAACCAAGGATTGATTATTATGCTTGACTTTGTACAACACACTTAGAAATAATCACAGCTCGAACACTCAATTCCTGCAAGTGATAATGCTTCTGACGGTATTTAAAGACTTTGCACATTAATAGGGTGGAGAAAGTCTCTGAAGTTTTTCCTCACCAAAGAAAATCCCCTCAAGAGAATAAAGATTGAATTCATGGAGTGTCATATTCCTATTAATAGCCAAATGGGAGATGAATGAATCTGATCAAATCCTGTAATTATTACCCAGAGATATTGATGAAATCTCAGTGTAATTTTCTATTCCTAATTTATTTTCCTATATATAACAGTCTGCAAAGTGCTTCAGGGTGCCTTTGAATGAAAGTAGCAGATATTAGTTTGAGATTTATCATTGTTTTGATTATGATCATCTACTTACTCTTTATAAGCATTCAGTGGTATGTAAAAAAGAAATGCATTATACATGTATCAGCAAATGACATATTCAAAGTAATGATAAGATTCTGTATCATTATTAATTTGTTTATATAATGATTTAATGCAACCAGACTACTGCTACTGGAGTAATTAATTTTCTCTGATTTTGTTAGACATCACTTAATTATCAGCCCAGCCATACAAAGCAAAACAAATAAAGAATATACTACAGGTAGGAATGAACTCAGTTTTAAAAGATATGGTTTCATGACTTGAGGAACTGAAGTTATTTTGATAATACAAATAAAACACCTACTGGACTGAAAATGTAGTGTTAAGCACATATAATTTGGTGATTAGCAGTGGTTTGAAAAATGCAGACTCCAAAGTATGACAATTTCAAAGGTATACAATTTTCCACCTCTCACAAGACCCAGGTTCTTACCATGTGGGCACCTCTGTATAAATCCCTGCATTTCCATAATCTGAGGGAGGTAAAAAGCAGTTTAGTCCAGTTATGATCTGCAAACCAATGCCTGTAAAAACTTTGTGAAGGGTGCAGGCATACCAAATGCTGGTATTTTCCCTCATCCAAAAATATCTGGCAAGAATTTTCTTTATATTAAAATGCTGTTAAGAAGAACGAATATTACAGATAATTTAATGAACAAAGCAACTTTGGCAGCAAATGTAATAATCTGGAAGTGAGTTACTTGGAAATAAACAAGATCTAATTAACAGGATTAAAAAAAGGGCAAACAAAAACTAGGATTAAAGAAAACTAACTCATGAAAGGTTTTGATACAGTTTAGCTAACTTTTTAATAGTCATACTATGTAGCATTAAAGCCATGCTTTTAGATTCACCCTATACCCAGGGCTCTGCCCTTTGGAATTATAAATTGCAGACCACATACTCCAGGACAAAAGTTTTTATTTCCACTGGATTTTGCAGTTTTCAGGGATTCTTGCAGTTCTTTTGTCCCTTTCCCACATATCTTGTCACCTCAGATGCTCTTATATGTTAAGTTGGAGCTAATGACTCACCCTTGATTTGTCTGACAAGGGGTATTATGGAAAATTTCTCATTACTGTACATGGTCATAAAAACTGACAGAAGATCATAACTCAATTTAAGTTTTTTCAATACTCTGGCATTGGATAGGATAAGATCCTTGGAAATATGTGGTTCCTAAATGCAAAAGAAGGAGGAACTCTTACAGTTAAGACTGATCTTAACGCAATTAAGCTTTTCTAGCATGCATAAAATATTTTTACTTATGAGACCACTCACCTCCTGAAAGTCTAAACAATTTGATGAAAGATCATCTAATCCCAGCCCCCAAATTACTAACATGAATCCCTACTTTGACTTCTATTAATGAAGATAAATTATACCAAAGACACGAGGCTGATGGTGCAGCATTCACAAGTAATCCTTATTTAGAAATTACAAAAGATTGAATTGACTAGATTAAATTAATTCAAGGGGAGATACACTGAGAAACTTGTCAGAAATATGTCTCATTTAAAAAATCTGTCAGGAAGGAGACTGAGAGAGCTGACACTGGTTCTGCAGATTTTCTTACCTGAAAGAACTTCCTGACTTTCCTTTCAAATAGGAATTTGTGAGGAACTGAATAACCACAGAGAAAGGTGAATAATAGAAAGAGCAAATGGGGTTCTGCTTTCTTTTGAACAATATGGAACCAGTTTCCAGTGAAAATCTGCCTTTTCTGAGTATTTGCTCACGTTCTCCTTCCAAAAGACCAGTTGAGAGAGAAAGTCTCTTCAAGCAGAGTGGCTCCTCTTACAATCTTAATTTCTTTAGTGCTATTTTGAAGAAATAGAGGAAATGTATGGATTATCTTCTGCTGAGATCCAGCAACTCTTCTGACTTGACTTCTAATTTTTCTTATTTCTATACTGAGATATTTTAAGAATGAAATCTAGGAATCCTACCATACTCTAATTGATCTTTGCATCTGTCAACAATTCAATCAATTTTATGTTGGGGTTTCAATTTTGTTTTTTAAAGTAAATCAGGGGACATATGTGGCATTTCCTTTAGAAGAAATGCTAAATTGGGATGTTCCTTTCACCTTGGGTAATTATAGAGACAAGATTACTTGGGATTCAGCTGAAGCCAAGAAACTTCTGTGAATATAGAGCTGAAAATGGATGATACAGGAATTTTTAAAGGAAAAATTGACATTGGAAAGGACAATACCTGGCTCAAACAATTTTTTCCTGTTATTTCAATCTCATTTGACATTTAAAAATCAGTATTATTTGATCTCAAAAAAATTCAAAGTCAGAAAATTATTTTTAAAAATAGCAGTATATAAAAATATTAAAAATGTCCCATAATTAACAATGTGCCAAATGTTTTCTGGTCCTCCTAAA